CCTCCACCTCCTGGGTTCAAGTGATCCTCCTGCCTCAGCCTCCTGAGTAGCTGGGATCACAAGCACACCATCACACCCAGCTAATTTTTTGTATTGTATTTGAGATGGGGTTTCACCACGTTTGCCAGGCTGGTCTCTAACTCTTGACCTCGTCATCTGCCTGCCTCGGCCTCCCAAAGTGCTGGGATTACAGGCGTGAGCCACCCCCCAGGCCACCTGAGTCCTTAAATGGAATACAAGTGTTAAAAAGTCATTTTTACTTCCTATTTTATGGTCAAAAGACAGAAATTAGGTTCCCTATGACAATTTAGACTGATTGTTTTAGGAGATCTTTTTTGGGGGGTTGTGTAAGAGCCTTGCTCTATCGCTCAGGCTGGAGTGCAATGGCATGATCTCAGCTCACTGCAACTTTAGCCTCCCAGGTTCAGGTAATTCTCCTGCCTCGGCCTCCTGAGTAGCTGGGATTACAGGCATGTGCCACCACGCCTGTCTGGTTTTTGTATTTTTAGAGACGGGTTTTCATCAAGTTGGCTAGGATGGTCTTGAACTCCTGCCCTCAAGTGACCTGCCCTCCTCAGCCTCCCAAAGTACTTAGATTATAGATGTGAGCTTCTGTGCCCAGCTGAGAGGTCTGTTTTGCACATATTTTCACTTAGTCCAGTTTGTCTTTTCATTCTCTTAAGTATCTTTCATGAAGATTTTTTTCCCTGGAGACAGAGTCTTGCTTTTTTACTCAGGCTGGAGCACAATGACATGACCTCAGCTCACTGCAACCTCCGCCTCCCAGGTCCAAGCAATTCTCCTGCCTCAGCCTCCTGAGTAGCTGGGATTAAAGGCACGCACCATCATGTTCAGCTAATTTTTGTATTTTTAATAGAGACGGGATTTCACCACTTGGCCAGGCTGGTCTTGAACTCTTGACCTTGTGATCTGCCTGCCTCAGTCTCCCAAAGTGCTGGGAGTACATGCATGAACCAGTGCGCCCAGCTGCATTTTTTTTTTCTAATTGACCAGCCCTGAACCAGAATGGGTTCAGAAAGACTCCTTACCAAGAAAGTTTTAAATTTTTATTAATTCCAGTATATCAACTTTTCCTTTTTATAGATCATGCTTTTGGTTTCATGTCTAACTCTGCCTAAACACAGGTCATGAAGATTTTTGTTTTCTTATAAAAGTTTTTTTTTTTTTGAGACGGAGTTTCCCTCTTTGCCCAGGCTTGAGCGCAACGGTGAGATCTTGGCTCCCCACAACCTCCACCATGCCCCAGTACTTTTGTATTTTTAGTAGAGGCGGGGTTTCTCCATGTTGGTCAGGCTGGTCTCAAACTTCCAACCTCAGCCCCTGCCACCGCCTCAGCCTCCCAAAGTGCAGGGATTACAAGTGTGAGCAACTGCACTGGTTTAAAAGTGTTTTAGTTTTATGTTTTATATTTAGGTCTGTGATACGCTTTGAATTCACTTTTGTAGAAGATGTGAAGCTAGTTTTTCCTATCAGTGTTGCTTGGAGATGCTCACCTGCTGATGTTGATCTGCAGTAAGATTTTATAGGTATATATATATATATTTTTTGGAGACGGAGCTTCACTAGTCACCCAGGCTAGTGTGCAGTGGCGTGATCTCCGCTCACTACAACCTCTGCCTCTGAGGTTCAAGCGATTCTCTGGCCTCAGCCTCCTGAGTAGCTGGGATTACAGGCGCTTACCACCACGCCAGGCTAATTTTTGTATTTTTAGTAGAGACGAGGTGGACAGGCTGGTCTTGAACTCCTGACCTCAGGTGATCCACCTGCCTTGGCCTCCCAAAGTGCTAGGATTATAGGTGTAAGCCACCACCCCGGGCCAAGTATGATTTCTTACTTTTTTTTTTGAGAGTCTCACTCTGTCACCCAGGCTAGAGTGCAGTGGCACCATCTTGGTTCACTGCAACCACCTCCTGAGTTCAAGCGATTCTTGTGCCTCAGCCTCCCAAGTAGCTGGGACTATAGGTGTGTGCCACCATACCCAGCTAATTTTTGTATTTTATTTAATTATTTTTTTACATAGAAATGGGGTTTCACCATATTGGTCAGGCTGGTCTTGACTCTTGACTCATGATCCACCCACCTGGGCCTCCCAAAGTGCTGGAATTACAGGCGCCCCACAGAAGTATGTTTTCTTTTCTTTTTTTTTTTTGAGATGGAGTCTCAAATCTGTCACCCAGGCTGGAGTGCGGTGGCACAATCTCCACTCACTGCAACCTCCACCTCCCGCATTCAAGCGATTCTCCTGGCTCAGCCTCCAGAGTAAGCTGGGATTACAGGCGCCAGCCACCATGCCTGGCTAATACTTGTATTTTTAGTAAAGACAAGGTTTTGCCACATTGGCCAGGCTGGTCTCGAACTCCTGATCTCAGGTGATCCGCCCACCTCAGCCTCCCAAAGTGCTGGGATTACAACAGTGACCCACCACGCCTGGCCTCCAAGTATGATTTCAACTGCGTATATTCCTCACTTGAAAATCTTTTGTAGAATTCTATTACCTTTCTGTGTGGCATGTGCTAGCATGTTATTACTTTGCTGTTAGTCATCTTCTGTTGAAAGATAAGTGGAAGCTTTGCAGTCCCTTGGTTACACAGATTTTGAGATATGGACATCTCCTTTGTACTTTTACTGAGGTCTGAAAACACTGTTGGAACCAGTTTTAGGTTGGAAAATATAACTGCTGTAAATCTACGTATGGGAATGCAGATCTCACGGCTTTTAACTTTCCGCAGCACAAGTACATCAAATAGCTGTTATTACTCACAATTCAAATGTCATCAAAGTGACTTTTCAGCCTTGTAAGTTTTGAATGTAAGTGGTTTTGGCTTTTAATTCTAAATTGAATTCATTGACTTGAAGAAACAGCAAGTTTGCAGCAAAATCTACTTTCTGAACCTGTTCAGTATTTGATGAAAATAGCTGAATGTTCTCACTCAGAAATTTTAAGTCTTGGCCCTGAACTCTAGGTAAATTTATCACTGCTAAGCCATCAAACTGCTGTGTGGTAGGCAGGGTGAGTCAGGGTATTCTGTTTCTATTTCTGTCAAAAATCCATGGAACTGCTGCTGCTGATGGCCAAGTCCGTGGGAACAAATGAAGTGCACTGGTGACTACTGCTTCAGTGACATGGTAAGCTCATATATTTTCTGAAAAGCTCCTGCTGGTAATTAATACAACGAATAGCCTTCAAGTGCCGTATATTTTCACAAATGGAATATTTTTTCGATTAAGCCCTTTTCTTTGAGATAAAAGGCTCACTTTGTCACCCAGGCTGGAGTGCAGTGGCGAGATTTTGGCTCACTGCAACCTCTGCCTCACGGATTCAAGCAGTTCTCCTGCTTCAGCCTCCTGAGTAGCTGGGACTACAGGTATTCGCCACCACGCCCATCTCTTAATTTTAGTAGAGACGGGGTTTCAGCATGTTGGCCAGCATGGTCTCAATCTCTTCACCTGTGATCTGCCTGCCCCAGCCTCCCAGAGTGCTGGAATTACAGGCGTGAGTCACTGTCCCCAGCCTTATTTTTAAAATTCTTTGTAGAGAGGGGATCTTATGTTGCCAAGCTGGTCTCCAACCCCTGGCATTAAGTAATCCTCCTGCCTCAGCCTCCCAAAGTGCTGGGATTACAGGCACAAGCTACTACATCTGATGGCAATGTTTATAATGAATCTGAATTTGCTAATGAAGGGGAAAATTTACCATTATTTTCCCCCAATGACTCCGAAGTCCTATTCGCAAACAAATGAATTGTAGAAAAAAAGTTTATTTGCTGGTTATTGTTTGAATCTTGAAATACAATTCCTCACTGATGATACTGGTATAAAATGGTGCTTATTAGTCCATGCCAGCCCAATGAAAACTAATTTAAAATTATTCATAAAAATGAGTCATTTTTGAATCTCTATTAAAATCTGAATACATAAATCTGTGCTAACACTGGAACTGCCTTCTCACTCTACATATAATTTAACTTCCAGCTTCAACCATGTGATGTTGAAATCTAAAGCGCCCTCATGAGTTAATGTCCCTGACAAATCATGCAGACGGACAAACAAGACTGGTGGTCTTTAACTGGTGGTGACAGTAAAGGCTGCAGTTTAGTGCTTAAACCTGCACTTAGTGGTCACCTTTCTATCCAGGCAGAGTAACTAAGGAGAGCTATGAAATGTCAAAAGAAAAACAGAGAACAGGACAAAGAGGCAATGTCAGCCAAGCCACTGCAAACCGGTCTGCACCCTTGTATTTCAGCCAAGGGCAGGCAATCCAGAATTACAGACTGCTTTCCTTAACTGGACCAAACAGTATATTTTTCCTCTGACAATCTTGTCAAGGGTTGCATATCATTGTTCTTAGTAAAATACAAAGTCCACCCTCATAAAAATATTATATTTTTCAGAAAATATAATACATTAAAAATCACTGGTTGCTTTTTCTTCGTCTTTTCTTCCGTGAATGCGTAGGTGTTTGAGTCCTCTGTATTTCTTCTTTTACACAGGATACGGGCTGTTTGGAAACTATTTCATTATCTGTATCATCTTCATTCATTTCCGTCACTTCAGATTTTCCTCTCTCCAAAAATGTTGGTGTACAAACTGGTGTGGGGCCCTGGATTCAACGAGTAAAGATTATAATACATAAATGTAGAACAAGATTATGACTGTACCCAAAATATCACCTCTGTTTTATTTTTACAAGAGGTACCCCATTATTTTAGGCCTGTTTCTATCTTTTGGTGATACTCTTGTAAAGAATAAAGAACTGAGATGCTTATCAAAGTTAGTACAGAAATTCACAATTAATTGGAACTTAGCATGTTCCATTATAAGGTGTTACGCAGAAAATTGCTAAATCGACAATAAAGATCTACCAAATGTGACAATATTCAATTTGAAATCTTAATATGAGAGTGGCAGAAACTGCCTTTCTTTCTTCAGATTATCTGTATAACACCTGGTGTCCGGAATATTGGAGACAACTTTACCTGGCTATCCACAGTCTTCTCAGCAGTGTCAAGAGTGCCTACAGCCTTTTCCTTCTTCTTACGTAAAACCTTAAATTTTAAAAGACACATCAGTTTGAATATTGATCAGTTATAGTCGTCTTAAATGTTTTCCTACTTATCTTTCTCTAATATCCTGGCATGTAAAATGATAAAAATTTTACCTGGCCTTTTGTAGACTTCTGATGATTAGTTTTTGAAATACTTTCTGTTTTCTGTAAAACCTTTAATAAAGAAGTTATAAATTAACAGTCTCATATCTTTTCTTTTTAAACTTAGCATTAGATCCTCATATATATTATCAGTAAATCCTCCCTAATGACAGAGCATTTCAATTTAAAAAGCAAAACTCATCAATACAGTGAATAATCTCAAGTAAAGGGCAAAACTAGAGAAGCCCAGCTGAGGAACTGACAGAGCTGCAGAGGTTAAAGGGAAGGCCAAAATCTGGAGCCCACTGATTCACAGAATCCTGAATTCAGGAGGCTGGAAGCAGGAAGAATGTGCAAAGGCAGGCCGCCCTCACCTCCCCTAAGTCACAAGGAAAGTTCAGGGAAAGCAGCGCTCGCATGCCTCTTTTCAAGCTTCACTGTCTCAGTTCCCAGATGGGTTCACAAGAGTACCAGGGCCTAAGGTTCAGTCAGATTATCTCCTTAAAGGACACTTCCTCTTCTGTATAATGGAAATAACAGAATCTGCTCTCATGTTTTAGTAAGAAACTACAATGCTTCAAAAGTTTAGTCAGACCAGGCACAGTGACTCTCCCCTGTAATCCCAGCACTTTTGGAGGCTGAAGTGGATGATCACCCGAGATCAGGAGTTTGAGACCAGACGGGCCAACATGGCAAAACCCCATTTCTACTAAAAATACAAAAAATTAGCCAGGTGTGGTGGTGCACACCTGTAATCTCAGCAACTCAGGAGGGTAAGGCAGGAGAATTGCTTGAACTTGGGTGGTGGAAGTGGCAGTGAGCCAAGATTGTGCCACCGCACTCCAGACCGGGCAACAGAGCAAGACTCTTAAAAAAAAAAAAAATTAGTTAAAAAACTGGCTGGGCATGGTGGCTCACACCTGTAATCCCAGCACTTTGGGAGGCTGAGGTGGGCAGATCACCTCAGGTCAGGAGTTCAAGACCAGCCTGGCCAACATGGAGAAACCCCATCTCTAAAAATACAAAAATTAGCTGGGCGTGGTAGTATGCACCTGTAATCCCAGCTACTTGGGAGGCTAGAGGCAGGAGAATCGCTTGAACCCAGGATGCGGAGGCTGCAGTGAGCCAAGGTTGTGGTAAGCACTAGGCTAGGTACTTTACGAGATACAAGGCCACCCCCTCCCCTCCCCACAGCAAATCACAAAAAAAGATTTCATGAAGAAATATTTACCAAAGAAGGAAAATCATAATCAATTCCCTTTTTAGCTAGTTTCTTCCTGAGTAACCTTTCTTTCTTTTTAAATTGCTCCTCCATCCATAGCTTTTGTGGTAGTGTCCGATTCTGATTATACCGTTTCACTGATGGGTATGACGGCTGTTTAAATGGAACATTCCAGTCTTTAAAGAGTTCTTTATGTACTTTTTTAGGTGGCATAAGACGACCTATTTTTAAAAAGAAAAAAACATAAAAAGTTTCAACCAAATGGTAGTAAGGGGATTTTAATGTTAACTTTAGAATCTCCCCAGTGCCATTCCTCACATATATCATCATGACGTGGCTGTGTACAGTGGCTCACACCTGTAATTCCGGCTTCTCTCACAGCGGTGGGAAGTGAATAGAGAGATGCTACCTGGGCAGCCTTGTCAGCTGTGAACTTGGGTACCTAAGATGGCCACATGCCACCATGGGCACAGGGAGGCCAGAAACTTCGCTCTGCCTCCCAAGGGCAGCAGGATCTGGAGACGGATGCTCTCTGCACTCTGTGGACTGCAGGGTTGAGGCTGCACTGGCTCCTTTCTGCAGGATGAATTTCTAATCTGGTGCTGTCACTCCTCTACGTCTTCCAGCTTCTCTCGTGTGGAAGAGCTACAGCCACTGCCATTTAGATGGATTCTGCAATGCGATTCCTGACCTTTGCTGCTATCCCACTGCCCTCAGGATGAATTCTGAACTTGATGACTTAGAAAGCCTTCAGTAACCCGACCTGAAGCCTATTCCTGTTCCCTGATCTCTTGCTACTTTTCCTTACATTCCCTCACAGCCAAATGGTCAGGCACCTCTGGTTTGGCATTCGCTGTCCCTCAGCCGGGAATGGTCTGTCTTCACTTCTGTCCCTTCACCTGGCTGGCTCCTGAAGAGTCTTCAGGTTTCAATGTCAATGCTCTTTCCCCAGATAAGTCTTTCACAGCCCATAAGCATGGGTTAGCTGCTCCTCCTGTGTGTCCCCAAGGTGACTTGTCCAGTTCCATTTAGGATAAAAACAGCTCTCATGCTGGGAGATTTTAAAATTCCAATTAGAATCTGCCTGCGACACACACTGAAATCCTTGCACCATTCTGTAAGACTCATCCACAGAGGAAGTGGCATGTCCAAGCAGTTAAGCAAGCCGCCCTTCCCACCGTCACCCATCAGCAGCAGGCACCCAGGCAACCCTACTACCACAGAGACAGGAGCACTTACACTCCAAGAGCCTTTCACCAAACAGGTAGTTGTTCATTGTTTCAGCAACTATCTTGGCAACATCCTTACACTCAAACTCCACAAATGCATAGCCTTTGCTGTTTCCAGTCTGCAACAGAGAATCCGCCACAAAAAGCAGAACAATTAGATTTGAACGCATTATTAAATTCCTAAAATGCCATTATTTTAAATAGTGTATATAGCCCCTTATCAAACATTATGACACATTTAATTCTAAATTCAATTCACATATTCTGGAGACTGTTACAGGAAAAAGAAAAGATGCAAGAGTCTCAACACAGCTGATTTTCTGGTATTCTTGGGATTTTTATTACATATGATAAATATACAATTCCTATGGCTGGAATTTATTCAACAACAACACTGCATTGTATAAAAGTCTTTAGTTGGGTGTGGTGGCTCACGCCTGTATCCTAGCACTTTGGGAGGCTGCGGTGGACAAATCATGAGGTCAGGAGTTCGAGACCAGTCTGACCAACATGGTGAAACCCCATCTCTACTAAAAATACAGAAATTAGCCAGGTGTGGTGGTGTGCGCCTGTAATCCCAGCTACTCAGGAGGCCGAGGCAGAAGAATTGCTTGAACATGAGAGGTGGAGGTTGCAGTGAGCCAAGACTGTGCCACTGCACTCCAGCCTGGGCAACAAGAGCAATACTTTGTCTCAGCAGCACGGGGAGGGGAAAGACAGATGGTGAAGTGGAAGACAGACACTAYGAAATCCAACCAAGTGTACCATCACTGTAAACCGATATAAATCTTTTGAGAAGTGATTTGAAAATGTTATGTAATTAAAGAAAAAAAACTTTACCCAGTAATTCCAGAATGTTGGAAATACCAAGCCAACAGTCAAAATTAGAGCGAGCTTGGCTTTACTACTCAAAAATGCTGGAAATGGTAAATTTTCATGCATCTCCTCAGTGAGCAGGATTTTTATAAGACAAAAATGGCCAGAACTCTTCAAGAAAAACCAAACAAGCAATAAAGGGCAAGGAGACTGTTCTAGATAGGCTTAGAAGCTTTAACAAGTAAATGTAATGCACACATCTTGACAGGGACTCAGAACAGGTAATAAAAAAGAATAGCTAAAGACATTTTAGGGGCCAGGCACAGTGGCTCACGCCTGTAATCCCTCCACTATGGGAGGCTGAAGCGGGAAGGCTGCTTGAGGCTAAGAGTTCAACACCAGTCTGGGCAACATAGAGAGACCCTGTCTCTACAAAAGAAAAATAAAAAACATTGTCCAGGCATTGTGGCACGCACTGGTAGTCCCAGCTACTTTGGAGGCTATAGTGGCAGAACTGCTTGAGCCCAGGAGTTGAAGGCTGCTGCAGTTAGCCATGATCCTGTCACTGTACTCTGGCCTGGGCAACAGAATGAGATCCTGTCTCAAAAACAAAATAAGGCTGGGGGTCGTGGCTCATGCCTATAATCCCACACCACTTTGGGAGGTCAGGAGTTCGAGACCAGCCTGGTCAGGAGATCACCTGAGGTCAGGAGTTCGAGACCAGCCTGGCCAACATGCTGTAACCCCATCTCTATTAAAAAATACAAAAATTAGCCAAGTGTGGTGGTGCATGCCTGCAGTCTCAGCTATTCGGGAGGCTGAGGCAGGAGAATCACATGAACCTGGGAGGTGGAGATTGCAGTGAGCTGAGATTGTGCCATTGCACTTCAGCCTGGGCAACAGAGTGAGATTCCTTCTCAAAAAACAAAAGAAAACAAAAACACACAAACAAAAAACCATTTTGGGAACTGGAGATACACAAAGATAGTGCATTATATACCATTATACTGTGGTTATATTGAAAGAGATGTCCTCATTCTCAGATTTATGATGAAGTATTTAAAGTATTATAACTGCCGCTTTTTTCTAATGATTCAGGAAAAAAAAGTGTATATAAAAACAAAAAAATGAAGCTAATGTGTTAGGATGTTAATAATGGGTGAATCCAGGTGAGGACTGTAGAGATGATCATCCCACTATTTCTTCCACTCCTCTATAGCCTAGAAATAAAAACACACAGCTGGGGGAACAATTACTATACTGCAATAGGGAAAAACACTTGCACTTTTCAAACTCAGAGCTTGACCTTTTTAGGGGGTAACAGGATCAGTTTAGGTCACAAGGATACTAAACAAAAACAAAAACAAAAACAAAACTAGGCCAGTCGCGGTGGCTCACACCTGTAATCTAAGCCCTCTGGGAGGCTGAGGTGAGTGGATCACCGGTCAGGAGTTTGAGACCAGCCTGGACAAAATGGTGAAACCCTGTCTCTACTAAAA